CATGCTAAATGCAGAGTAGAAAAATCTAATTAATTAATGGTTCTGTTTATCTGATTTATAATAAAATGTTTTATAACTTCCTGTTTAAATATTTCAACTTCTTTTCCTGAAAATGCATTTTTATAAAATTTATTTTAACTATCTTACTTTTAAATGATGCAATAATAAATAAGCACAACTATAAAGATTCTGACACTTGGATGCCTTCCACCATGATAATTTTGTCTCAGGAGAAATTAGAAAATTCCACAAAATTACCTATATGTAATTTATAGAAAACTGAGTCAAGGAACAGTTGTTGCTATTGGAATGAGGAATCTTGTCATTTTCTTCACTCATAAATTTTGAGTATATGAGTCTCTGGACCCTAAATCAGATGGTGGATTCATATGAAATAATGGCTTTATTTTTACATAAAGGTCGATGATCCATACATATCTTTCCTGCTGCTTCACAAACCACATGCACATCAGAGAAGATGGTGTTGCCTCTGTGACTCCATTGTCCAAGGACCTAAATTTTGAATACTGCTCAAGAAAAGTATTAACATCTTTGTGCTATGAATTTGGCTACAATATTAGCTAGCGTTCCATTTCCAGGTGGCTTCCATTACCATCTAATTATTTTTAAACACTGACTTTATTTCAAGCAATTTACCATTGTCAAGGGTCACTTCTAAGTACAACATTGTTGAAATCAAATATTTTTTATTCTAGGGCTCAGGTTAGATGGTATTATTTAGGAATGGTGTTATATAGAATTATTGGTAGATAAAAAGGCAAAAATCTTGATGAACATATATATTAAATATTAAAATTAAAAACCTATACATAATTTTATGATTCTGTCACAATTATTTGTTTCAAATTTCCAACTATCCCATGAACAAATTGTAGTGTATTAAAGAAATTTATTAATTTAGTCACCAGTAATTTATTCACTTATTAACACTTATTATTATAATTGTGGGCTTATTACATAATCCAATAAGAGGAATTTCATCTCTCAAAGAATTTGTGCCAAGGAGGAGGATATGATACAATCCACTAGCAATATTTTGTGAAAGTATATGCAAAAACACATGATTTGATGAGAGGGGTTGATGAGTATTTTGAAGACTTCGAGGATTTTTTTGCATTAGTAAGCTATTTTCCAGGTTTCATACTCAATGCTCATATATGAATATGATGAGGAAGAATGCATGGCTTGTTAATTGGATTAAACACATTACTTTGATTTTATTTGCTTTTAAGTTCTGATTTATTGTAATTGTGAAATACTCATAGACTTAATTCATGGGGAATTCTGAAAAGATATCTTTCACCTCATCTTGCTAACTTCAATACTGTGTTGAGTCTATTAATCAAAGTAAAATTCAATTACATGAACCATCTTTATACATACATTAGCTTGGAAAGACTTTTTTACGTAAAGTTTATGAGGTTTAAAATAATTTGGTGAAGACTATTAAATCCAATGTCTAAACTGACAATCTACTTACATCTAAATGCTTGGGATGTAGAAAGGGAATAAATATTTATTTGTTCTATAAAAAGTTGTGGGTTCCTTTTAATTCTTTCAGTTTTGCAAGATTATCTATTTTGTGTCTGATGTAAATCTTTTCTTAGATCATTTTACTTAGAATTTCTTGCCTTAAAGATTTTTCCCAAGTACTGTTTTTGTACTTACTATAATCTGATTTCTCAGTCTCCATCAGTTATTTCCTATAGAAGGTGTTGCTTCCCTCCAGTGGAATCTGTATAATGTCACCATGTTCTTCACTGTATTTCCGAATGTGCCAGCTGAGTGATATTTGGGCTCTGTGCTCTCCTGAACACTTCGACTGTGTCCTTCTCCTGACTTCATTCCTTTACAGGTTATGTAAGCCTGCTGTTATCGAGTGGGATAAGGACATTTTAGGACACTTTACATTATAGAAGACTATTCTGCTGGCTCCCTCAGAATACAGAATAATAATGCCTGTGATGTAAGTATTCAGTATCTGGGAGTCAAGTTCAGGGGAACAACTAATTAATCACTTCACAACAATTGCCATCATGAAATATAATATAATGATTTTTCCTCTCTGTAAGCTGCAATTAGTTGTTTGTAGTCCCCCCCCACCCCACACCCCGTCTTTCTCTTTTTCTTTCTGTGCTCAGGCATGGATCATGCAGTTTATTGAACTCTTTCTGCAGTCTGACCAAATTTGGGTATGCTATTATTTTAAAAGAGTATTCCTATATAATCCAGATAGCAATCTTCCATCCTTCTGTATGAATCCATATGATACCAACATTTCAATATACCTCAGAAGAACATGTTCTGAGTCTATGTTACATCATAATATGTTATACTATGGTAGATTAACTAATCATTGTTATAATTACAGTCCATTGACAAATCAAACAGTATAGACTATATTTATTTGGGGGGAGGCCACACCCATTGATGCTCAGGACTTATTCCTGGCTCTGTGCTCTCAGGAATTATTCCTGGTGGTACTTGGAAGGCCATATGAGATGCCAGGGATAGAACCGAGGTTGGCTGCATACAAGGCAAATGCCTACACTCTGATCTCTCCAGTCCCAAGACTCTATTTATTTTAAGTTCATTATAAAAATAAATTTATTATATAAATTTAGAGCATTTACTTTTTACATTAATTCAACATTTAAAAAAATATTGTCATTTATGACAATGAGCTTGTTTGAATTTTTAATAATCACAAGTTATCCAGTGTCATGTCTATAGTATCTACAGAAGATGGAATTTCTAAATAGAACTTTATGTTTATCACAAGGAACCATTTCTTCTTTTATGGTATAACACGAATTAGAATACCACTTTATCAATTTCTGCATCGCAGTGAAGACTTTTTTAATTTAATTTTTATAAATTTATTCACAATAATTGATACATTTAGTATTCAAACACCAATCTCACACCCCTTACACCTTCCCACCACCATATTTTGAATGTTTCCATTCTGAACTCCAAATCCTATCTCCAAAACAGAAACAAAGTAATTTATTTTGTATTGTTTATTATGAATAATTCTCTAAAAATAATCCTAAAAGTTTTCTTAGAGGAAAGCGTGTGAAGATTGCTGTGTTTCACATAGGAGCCATTAAACCCTTCTGTAAGAGATTAGTAACATGTTGTTAAAGGTTGAGCCTTGTGTGCTTATATATATTATACATAATATATATCACTGTCCTCCCGTTGTTCATCGATTTGCTCCAGCAGGCCTAGTAACGTCTCCATTGGAGACTTTGTTGTTACTGTGTTTGGCATATCGAATACATCACGGGTAGCTTGCCAGGCTCTGCCGTGCAGGCAAGATACTCTCGGTAGCTTGCCGGGCTCTCCGAGAGGGGCAGAGGAATCGAACTCGGGTCGGCCATGTTGACCGCGTGCAAGGCAAATGCTCTACCGCTGTGCTATCGCTCCAGCCCCCAATATATATATATATATATATGTATATATATATATATATATATTCATTATATATATATATATATATATTTCCACCTAAAACTCATTGCCTTCTACTTCAATCCCAATCAAATGTGGTGTTCTACTCTTGGTATCTCAGTGGTGTATGAGATGTCGCACAGCCACATTTGTGGTTCAGGAATAGATTCACTCATGGGTGAGGCTCGTCCAAGTGTGTGGAGATTGGCCTTGAGCGTGGCAGTGATTGAGTTCTGAAGGTTTTCTTCTTATTAAAAAATATTTTTAAATGGAATCACTGTGAGATAGACTGTTACAAAGCTGTTCATGATTGGATTGGATTTCAGTCATACCATATTCCAACACCCATCCCTTCACCTGTGTACATTTCCCAGCACCAGTGTTCCCAGGTTCTCTCCCATCACCCTCCCCTCCTCCATCCCCTGCCTGCCTCCCCCTCCCTCTATCTCTTACTCTTCCTCTCTTTCCCCTTTTGGGCATTGTTATTTGCAACATTGATAGTTAAAAGTTATCAAGAATATTCCTTTACTTACTTTAACACTTAGTTCTTGTCCAGCATGATCATTCTCAGCTATTATTGTCATACTGGTCTCTTCTCCATATTAGCTATTCTCAGTTCCATACACACCTGTGGTTAGAGGTTAGATTCCACCATTGACCACTCTTCCTAACTCCTGTTTTCCCTGACCATGGATATTAGTAGGCTTTTGCCTTGCACGCAGCTGACCTGGCCAACCCAGGTTTGATTCCTCTGCCCCTCTCGGAGAGCCTGGCAAGCTACCGAGAATATCTGGCCCAGCAAAGACTGGCAAGCTCCCTGCAACGTACTCAACCTGCCAAACCCAGTAACAAGTCTCAATGGAGACGATACTGGTGCCTGCTCGAGCAAATCGATGAACAGCGGGAGGACAGTGTATATATCTTATATACCACAAATGAATGCAGTAATTCTATATCAGTCCCTCTCCTTCGGACTCATTTCACTCAGCATTCAGCATGATACTCTCCATGTACATCCATTTATAGGCAAATTTAATGACTTCATTTTCTTAACAGCTGCATAGTATTCCATTGTGTACATGTGCCATAGTTTCTTTATCCATTTGTATGTTTTTGGGCACTCAGGTTGTTTCCAGATTCTGGCTATGGGGAATAGCACTGCTATGATTATAGGAGTGTTTATGGTGTTTCTGCTGTGTGATTTTGGGCCCCCAGGGTATACACCCAGGAGTTTTGAAAGTTTTCAGCTGCCTGGGTTAGTTCTGTTGGGGAGGGAAGGGGAACTCACTCGCCCCTGAGCTGTGCAATAGGTTAGTGCATGGTACTTATATGGCAGTGGGAGTGGAGTTAAGACATTATTAAATCAAGTTCTGTGGACATAAATATTAGCTTATTCATATTTTCTCTCTCTAAAAAATATGAATTATTTTTCAGGCAGAGTTTTAGTAAAAGCAAATACATTCATTGTAGATTTTCTTTGGCTAATTCAAGCAACTTGTCAAAAAACAGCATTGTCTACTCACGTTTATCTTGTTCTGTCTCTACTCCTTCACTTTCTGTGTCACTTGGCAAAGTCCATGGTTGATGAACTACCTGCAATTGCTTTAAAGATTCATCCTGCAAAAAATATATATTTTGGGTTAAACTCTGAGTTAGTATCATAAATACCAATATGAATAAACACTTTAGTTTGAATGAAACACATGGTCAAAAAGATAAATAATGACAATTTCTTTAAAACCGCTAAGAGTTCTTTTTTTATGTAGGAATATTGCTATTTATTCATAAGCCACTGATTAGGCTGATCAAATTGTGCATGAACTCCACCTTACTTCCCCCCCCCCATTATCTGTAATTTTATTTATTGAATCACCATGAGAGCAGTTACAAAGCTTGTGGGTTTAACTCTCAGTCATACAATGAAACACCTGTACCTTCACCAGTGCCCATTATCCACCAACAAAAAGTATGCCCCAATTCCATACCTCCCCCTACCTGTGGGGCAGATGATTTCCACATTACTCTCTACTTTGACATTCAATATTTTGACACCAGACCCACCATTATTATTTGGGATTTTACCCCAAGACCTAGATCTGCCAAAAAGGCAATGGTAGACAACTTATTTTCTATTACTGGCTGGAGCGATAGCACAGCGGTAGGGCGTTCGTCTTACAAGCGGCCAACATGGCCAACCCGAGTTCTATTCCTCTGCCCCTCTCGGAGAGCCCGGCAAGCTACCGAGAGTATCTCGCCTGCACGGCAGAGTCTGGCAAGCTCCTCGTGACGTATTCGATATGCCAAACACAGTAACAACAAAGTCTACAATGGAGACGTTACTGGGCCCACTCGAGCAAATCAACGAACAACGGGAGGGCCTTTACATTTACCTTTACCTTACTGGCTATAAATAACATATGATGTTGTGCGGCTGCAGTAATGATCATGTACTTTTGAAATTCTGAAATTTTAACAATTAACTCTGGAGGGATTTCTTGCCAAAACCTGCTGGGTTCTGAGATTTGTTCCTGAGTCTCTGGGATCATGGCTGCTAAGCAGCTTGATCAAGAGCCAGAGAAGCCATTCCTGGGTGGTGACGCAGGGTCTCGTTGGGATGAGGATGAAAGGGCCAGCTTCACCCCCATCTTGTCAGGCCCCGTGTGTCTCGTCACTGCAGGCCCAAACCTGACTGTACAGTGTCCTGTGGACGATTACGTCCATCGGGCCGCGAGGGGGAACAGGCCAAGGCATGAAACCTATTCCCACCTGGGGTTGCCCCACGTCAGTAACCTACTGCAGGGACTGGACTCATTTCTGCCAAAAGCCATTGGGTTTGGGGATTTGTTTTTGAGTCTGTGGGATCATGGCTGTTAAGCAGTTCGATCAGGAACCAGAAAGGCCATGCCTCCAATTATATAGTTGAGCCGTAGGTGGTTTGTGGGTGTGTTTCCACATATCTCACTTTTGGCCTTTTACTTTATTGGTTAACTCCGCCCCAAGTTTTTGGGGTCTGGCCAAAGGCACAGCAGCAATTTGGGGGTATCTGGAATTCTGAAGGCGCCATATGGCTGCTGATGCACTCGCCTCACAGGTACAGACTGACCTGCTGGCGGCACCATACACCGCAAAACCGTTAAGAGTTCTAAGTTTATATTCAGTTTCATGTTTTAGACAATTCATGAAAAATGTTGTCACTTTTTTCATTCTCCTTCTTAATAAGACTGAATCTCTTAATAAGAAAATTATATAGTCTATGTTCCTTTCTTAATTTTAATGAATGTTTTAGCACTTGTGAGTGGAGCTATATTAAAATATTTCATACAAATTTGCACAAGATTTGCTTCTTTGCCTTCAAAGTTTTAAATGCTCTTTAATAAGAATAAAAATTAAGCTTTAGTGTACAGTCACAGCATGATCGTTCAGTATCGCTTCACTAACTTTTTCATCTTGTCACTTCCTTATTTTTGTTTGAATATTTGCCATATATATCTTTTCGCTGCTCTGTCTTTCTATCATTTAAAATATATCTTTATTATCTGCTCTTTGTAATAGCCTAGTTATGGACATCTCCGAAATTCTCTAGAATAAAGTTTTATACCTTCCCATTTTCTCCCCAACTGTTCCCTAGGAGAGTGAAATTCTTAAGAAGCCACGTGATACATCATCCTTCAATGAACTCATTATTCCAAGTATAACATCCATACTTAAGTCTCTTTACAATCTATTCTTGTCACACTTGATCTATCACCACTACAGTCTCCATTCTATTTTGAGTGACACTTTCACAGGGCTATAATTACCAGGTGGTTTCTCAATTTTGTCATTTCATCAGATCTTCTAAGAAATTTATACATGTTATATTTCCTATATTACATTTCCCTATTTATCTCAAACATTAAAATATCTACTAAGGTGAAGTGTCATGTCCAATAAAAGTCTTTGATTCGCTTCCAAAACAGCTGCTCTTAAACTCTTTTATGTGTCTTTTGCTCCAATATAACAATTACTGCATATTAGCTGTCTTTATGCATCATAAATTATACGAAAATTCTTTGAAAACCTAGATCACTGTTTTAGCCTATGCATTTCCAGTTCCTATAATATACTTGTCTGACCTAAACAAAAACCAAAAAACAACTACAAGAACTCATTCAGCAAATCTTTCTATAGGAAAAAGGAAAAATGAAAATAATCAAGGGAGAAAAGGGATAAAAAGATAATCTAGACCTTATTTAGAGTAAATTTCAGTATCAAATTTATTTAATTCAAGACTATCACTTCAAATATATCTTGAAAATTAAAGTAAAATTAATGTATCCTATCAAATTATTTATTTAATCTCTCAAATTGCCTTGTGATCACTTCTCTTGGTCAGCAATGTTTTCTCACAGCTTGGTATATTTTGTTTTCTTTTTTTAAAACAAATACTAACATGATTGTAACAATGCCCACAATATCTGAATGATAATTGATATGTCATTAATAGACATTAAATTTTCTCTTTGTTTAAATCAATTACCATATAAAAGAAACATCCCTTATACCATCTTTTATTGAGACAGTTACTCTGAAGATATTAAGTCTGAATATAGCATTTCACTGGAGTACCTGGAGTTTGGGAGTAAGCTATAGAGTTTAATAGTGAAACACAGGGGTATTTACTTTAAGAACATTGAAGATATTTTGTATATTTTAATGATGAATTCAATACCTTAAATTTTTGTCAAAATCCATATAACTTCATGCATTAGAATAAAATAAAACGGTGAAAGTAAATAAAAAAACATAAACCTGGTGGTGGTGTGATCACATAATGGAGAAAAAAAAAATCCAATGGTCTGGAGTGATAGCAATAGCTGTAGGGCATTTGCCTTGCACGCAGCCAACATGGCCGACCCGAGTTCGATTCCTCCGCCCCTCTCAGAGAGCCCGGCAAGCTACCGAGAGTATCTCGCCCGCACGGCAGAGCCTGGCAAGCTCCCCGTGACGTATTCGATATGCCAGACACAGTAACAACAAAGTCTCCAATGGAGACGTTACTGGGCCCGCTCGAGCAAATCAATGATCAACGGGAGGGTCTTTTACCTTTTTACCTTTTATTAATGCATTACAGGTATGTGAGATAAACATTATTAAGCGAAAAGGTACAATCTAAGAAACTGTGAAAATGAGTAGTCTGAAAGACCAAGAGCGAAAGGAACTGTACATAAACATCATACTTTAGATGGCATTTTTTTTCCAGTGGGCATATAGGTTAACAATTCTGAAAACAATATATATATATATATATATATATATAATTGAATATGCCCGTGTATGTGTATGTGAACATATAATGCTTGTAGTTAAACAACAGGAAGGGTTTAAAATTGTCCATGCATAGTATGCGAGAGTTTGCAAACATCAGCATGAACTAGCAAGCAATCACTATTCAGGAACCTCCATGTACAACTACTTCTAGGTATTTCTATATATGTAGAATATTTATCACATAGTTGTCTTCTACTCTGAGAGTTAAAGGACTTAGACACAATGATACCTTTATAGCAATGATACAAGTACTTTCCATGTCTTGGTTTCTAATTCTTTTTTCCAGTAAATGCAATGGGCACTTGCAAAAATGACTGATTCTTAATTAACTTAGTTTTTAACTGAACAGTGAGATACATAGTTACAACATTGTTCATGTTTGGGTTTCATATAATGTCCCAACACCTATCCCTTCACCAGTGTATACATTTCCTACCACCAATGTCTTCAGTTCCATTCTCTCTCCCCCCACCTCTTCCACCACTTTGATGGGCACTTTCCTTCTCTCCTTCTCTCTCTCTCTCTCTCTCTCTCTCTCTCTCTCTCTCTCTCTCTCTCTCTCTCTCCTCTTGGGACTTACAGTTTGCATTACAGCTGCTGAAGGGTTATCAAGTAAATCCCTTTATTTACTTTCAACACTCAGTTTCTGTCCAAATTTATCATTTCCAACTATTATTGTCATACTGGTCCCTTTTCTATCCTAAATGCCCCTTAACCCCTTACACTCTGATGGCAAGCTTCCAACCATTGACCAGTACTCCTGACCCATTTTCCCTGGCCTTGAATACGATTTTTTATATCATACAAATTAATGCAGAAAATTACGGATTCTCGAACTGAACAGGAAATTTATAAGATGTACCTGAAGTATCTTGTAGTGCCAGAAAGTTAATGTTCATACAATGACAGCAATATGTAAAAGTGATAAAAGTGCCAACAAAAAGTCTTTCAGTGATCAAAGCTAGAATAAGTTGAACAATAAATGAATAACAATAGGATATTACATAAAGTATAATATAAGTATCTATAAGTATATTCTTTTAATAAATGATAAATAAATGTAAAAAGAAAACTTGCTATGCAAAAGGAACACAAAATATTTATGTAGGTATTCCATCCTTAAGGAAGTATAGAATAGGCTGATAATTCCTTAAGAATGGACTGTTTGGGGTGAAATTTTTTCCAATGTCAAAAGGGATAGAAAAACAATTTTATGATGAAGAAACATATCAAACACCATAGAAATCCAGGTGATTGAAGTCAACGTCAAAACCAATAAGTTATATTAAGAATATCCACCTATTTGA